GTTTGATGTTGGCGAGGTGACCTCGGCTTTGTGCCTCCTTTCCTCGAAAGTGATCCTAGCTGTGGGGAGCGGCAGATGTGTGGCTCTTTCCCCCCAGTTTTCTGATTCTTTGGTGGCCTATAGTATTGGGTATCTCGGCCGTAAAGATCGCTATCCTTTACCCTTAATTTTTTCTCTAGTGGTATCGCTTCGTCCTGCGCAGGCTGCAGAGCCTACGACACATTGCCCGAGCCTGAATGCACCCTTCGAAATGAAATTCCGGGTATCCAATTAGTGGGTGGGTGCTGCCCGTCTTCCCGCATGCCCAAAAGCAAGCGTGTGCCAGTTGCGCAGCGCGACAATTTGCGCCCGAGCTGAATTGGCATGACATACAGCGGGCGAGAGGCCTTCTAATTGACATCCCCGCGAGTGGCACCCATCCCGCGGAGGTCTTTTTACTTTTTTCTCCTGGGTGCTGCAAAAGCTTATAGCTTTCTGTGGCGTCAAAAACTAGCAAGGAATCTACGTTTAGGTGATATTTACAAATTACCATAGCTCATTCGATAGATCTTGAAATTCCACAAGTAACGTTTCCAGGAAAGGATGACGATAACGATCATGGTGCAAAAGTTTCCCAAAGTTTCGATTCTCTCAAAGTGTCTCAAAGCGGCGGCCGACAATTGGCAAAAGCGTTTTTTTGAAGCAAGTTTTTGCCTAGAACATGATTGTTCAGCAATTTTTAGCTCTGTCGAATCAGTTATTTGTTTGTAAGTTCATTCATTTAGAAAAAATCGCTTTCCAGGTGACATTTACAACAGCGACCAATATTGCCAATAGTAATATGCTGGTCGGGGGGCCTTTGATCGCCCGCTTCCGCTTCTCCTCCCCCCGCCCCTGATTCACATTTGTATTTGTGTGTGCTGGAGCGGCGCGTGAAATTTGGCGTTTGCGGGGCTCTCCCCCGCGCCCTACGCTGACCATTCTTCCGAACGCTCTTCAATGAATTGTGCCCTTTCCGTGGGCGCGGTCGGGTCCCACGATGGCGCAACCCCGGTCGGGGCTCTCAGTTTGCGGCATTTCCATAATCTCTGCAGGAGCATTAGGTGGCAAACTTGGTTTGCTCTAATTTCTCCCAATGGCACCCTCGCTGAAGAGCCCAGAGGGAATCGAGTGGGGCCCCGAGGGCAAATCTCGTCAATTTGCATATGGCCCCCGCCCCCAAGGGCCATAAGTCCCACCCAGCAGCTTGGGGGCATTGAGTTCCGCGCAATTGAGCGCGATGTATAGCCGGGGCTTCTTTGTGGACCTCCCCCCATTGACTTTTTCCTGCGACTAATGCATGGTGCCGAGGTCGGCCGATGTGGCCTCTGATACGAGGTCGTTCTCTTTGACATATTTATGCTTTTGGATCTTTTTTAGAAAGTTAACTCCTTGCTGTTCGATCCCGCTTATCATACGGCACTCATTACGTATTAGCGCTGCACCGAGCCCTGCTCGTTGCGCAACCCCTTTCGTATCTCTCGTGCCCTTTTCTCCTTTTTTCAATAATTTTGTTTCTAGGTAGGCCGTGCGGCGCTATCTCGCAAGCTCTCGGTAACTACTCCACGATGAACCGCCGCTCCGCTGGCCCGTTGACGCATGGTTGGCTGTTTTTTTTATTATTAATCCATTATACTTTTAGCGGCAGCTATCACCAGCCCGCCGATCGTGCCCGAGCCCCGGCGAACGGTGTCGACCAGCAAATTGAGCGGCCTTTTCAAGACTGACGATGCGAAGGCGTCCGATTCCAAGCTCAACGAGGCCCTTGATGCCATGTCTCTTGCCCAGTACGTTTTTTCGGGTCCTGGATAGTGAGGCTTTCTTCCTGATTCTTTAAAACTAAAGCGTATTTTTTACAAAATGCAGCGAATCTAAAACTGGAGCTCTGTTTTGAAAAACTCTATTTTTAGGAAACTGCGCATCAAGGCGGCCGAGACGGAACGCCGCGGCGGGGCCAAGCTCGCCGAATGGGCGCGCAAGACGAAAAACGCGGCGATAAGTGATGTGATCGAGAAGACGTCGAGTGTACTCCAGATGCACAGCGACCTCACCGTTGATCTGGCCCTGCGGAATCAGCAAACCACCGGGGTTTGTTTGACTTCCCCTCGTTTAACACAGCTAGAAAAGGACGGACGAAAGGGTCGTCTATTTCTGGGGTCTTTTGCGGCGCGTTTGTAAGCATAAAAATTATTAATTGAAGTAGAGTTGGCGTTATCCAAATCAAAGTCTTAATTGAATCAGAGGATTTTATTCCAATTTTTTAATTTTCCCGGCTAGGCTGCTCCGGAAAAACGGTTTCTGATATAAGTTCCTCGGAGAAATTTTGAGATTTTGCTAGAAAACGGACGCTTAATAAAATAGACAGGTTTCAGGCCTGATCGGATTTGAATCAGGTCAACTCTTGAAGTACTAAACTTTTTTGCCTAGCGTGCCCTTTGGTATCCCATTGTTCTCCAATTACCAAACTTTCTCACGGTTGCCCAATCACAGCGAGCCAATCTTATGACCGATGAGGGGTCGTCGGGGCGCGGGTAATTATCGGCAATGGGGTGCTTAGGGCCCGGAGTGGGTGGGTTGATTATCCGCATGGGAGGAAGGGGTTCTGTGGGGGCACACGTTTGAAGATGGTGCGCTATTTGGACGCCATATGTGCGCGGTCGGGCGATGAGTGGACCCGCGCAATTTGATACTCAACCGATCCGGGCATACAGTTCTTTGTCCACCCCCGGGGGAGTGGCGTACAAGGGAATTTGAATAGACACCCGTTGGTGCTAGGTTGTTACAGCGCGAAGGTCAGGTCAATCAGATTAGTTACCAATGGGATAAATTGTGGAAATTTTATACCTTTCGAAAGATAAATAAAATACGTTCATTTATAATTTATGACTTTTCCAGCTTCTCCGTGGACTATGTGGACGAGGACGCGAGTTGGAAGAAACGGAAAAAGAATATCGGCGACTGAAGGAAAAGGAGGCCAGGCTGCAAAAGGTACAGCGACCCCTGATTTCCTAACCTTTGCGCTTAGGAATTGAATCAGAGGCGCGATCGTACCCGCGCGCAACAGGATGCCCTTGAAGCTCAGCTATCTGATGTATGTGGCCGCTTTTTGGTTAGATAATCTGTTACTTTTAGACGAAGCGTCAAATCAGCTTTACCTGGGAACACCTGCGCCGATTGCGCGGTGACGAGGAAGCTGTCAAGATGCTGCGACTGAGGCATGGCTGCAAGGTGATTGTGTTTCAACCTGATAAATAGCCTATTTTAGGGTTTCGCGGATGCCGGGTTGAATTATACGACGGCCGCGCGCGCCATTTTCTCCACCCAACGCGAGCTGGCCGAATCGATTCCCGGATTAGCAGGTTGGTGTACTCGGTGCTCTTGATGGCGAACTTCCGTTCATTCAGTGCCCGGCGACGAGGTGTTTGGGCTGACATATGATGCGATCCCATTTACGCAAGAAAAGATTGAGCAGTTGAGACATTTCCTTGAGTAAGTTTTTTTGCGAAAAATGGATCGGTGTGAGATTTCATGAATACATCCCATAAGCCCTTTTTTTAGCTCGCTGCAAAAGAACGACGGCAAGATCTGCATCCAACACAGCCAAGAGCGTAGCCAGCTCCTCGGCGGCCCCCGGCGGCGTAGCGAACCTGCCCGGCGTGCCGCAGGTTTCGGCCATCACCCTAGGGCCCAACAGGCTGCAGCTGCCGCGGCACAGTCCATCCCTGCTTCGCCACCCCCGCCCTACACACCGTCCGCACCGGCCGGCGAGATGAATACGGTTAGGGAATCTTGCTCGGCTCCAGAAACCTCATTTTCATTTCCAGAGCACCAGCTCGAATTCTTCTTCTGGATCTTGTCGCCCGAGCAACAATCGTCTATCACACCCCTCTGCTCCACAAGCCACACCGTTGGCTAGAAACGCTGGTATCTCGTCATGTATTTTCTTTATTTGTCTTATTTTAGCAAATCCTCTGCGGGCGTCTTTCCTCCAACCGATCCGTAATGAAGACTACCCTTCAGCAATCGCCCAATTGACCGCGTCCGCCGAACGCAAGCGCGAAAATAGGAGGTTGGATTCTTGGATAAATTGCCAGTTTTAATAAAACTTTAGGTCACTCCCCCCGGCTTGCGGTGGATGCGTGGGTCGTCTCTACCCGGAGCTGCCGACGAATTACTGATGTGCCCTGATTGTGATCGTCCTTGATTAACCTATGTGCAATCAATTGACATTTCACCCCCCCTCCCCCTTAATAATTATTCTATTGGTTGTGTTCTACCATTTTGCAGGGTCACTGCGTTTTGTAAAGCCGCTACCGAAATATGGCTCCATTGTTGGGTTCATTCGTATAGATACTCCGAAATTGAGTCGGCGGCCAGGTCATTGGCCCCGATTTAATTTTAGCTACTAGCCAGTTGGAGCAAAATAGTGACCCTGTTCCCCTTTACTCAACTCCACCCCGATTGATTTGCAGCTACCATTTCCCCATGCCATCTGACTTAATGTGTAAATCGTGCCCAGAAATTTTGTGAGCATAATAATATTTGTGTGTCTGTACATAGACCATTGTCAGCACTGCCGCCACCGCTACTCGTACCGTACTCTGTGAATAAACCGTATTTCAATTTCACGCTGACATCTCGAGCACGTGGACACGGCAAACACTGTCCTAATCCGAAATCCCGTCTCCTTGACGGGCTTCACCATAGCCGTTTTTGCCTGGTTGAGCAGATAGTGAATCGGGACGGGGCCCGCTCTCATTATTCCCGCTGCTCCCAATTTCTACGGGCCGGTGCGGTGTGAAGGCGAGACGGATTATGGGGATTCGTGCTTTCGCCCCCGGCGCCTCCGACGTCTCCCTTCTTTGTAATTGATTTCCGCCATTCATTGGCTGAAAATTTAGCTAAAACAGCCGCGCTCACGTTGAAATACGCTCATTCTTTCCCAAAGCTTTCCTTGATCTTCGACGAATAACTTTCAGCTTATGAGTGGCCGGGCGAAAACGGTTGTATCCATCGTATCGCCACACAAGGCCCATTTTGCCATCTACTTGATTGCTCATTTAAACGTTGGCTTTGTGGTGAGCCCCTTCGCAAAATGACCTACAGATTTCCCGATTTTGGGCGATCTACGAACAAAACATTTCAGACCACATTAATCCCGCTGAGCTTCTCCTTCCTGACATGTCGTTCCGGGATCCCCTCGCAACAAATGTTCTGGATCTTCTTCCTATTTTACACATCCCTCTTTGTCGGGACAATGGCGAACGCGTACCTGAATAAAAAGTAAAGCTCACAAACTCACAAAGCTCACGGATACCCGCATAGGGAAAATGAACTGCGAATGTTGATCGTCACAAGTCTGCTGATGGCCACAACGCTGGTGGCAGCAACCTTCGTCACAGACTTGCTATTGTTTACCCTCGTATGTTCCCCTTCTACATCCTAAAGTGAGCGATTTGCAGACATTCGCAGGCCTCGGCGCTTCGATGGGAATACAGTTCTCAGAGATCAACGTATCCTACCTAAAAATGTTCCCTCAGCAGCATTTCTCCTTGCTACACGTTAGCCATTCAATAGGCGCACGAATCCATTTTAGACGCTTCATCTATCCCATTCCCTGGGAGCCTGGCTCGCCTCCCTGATGTTCCGCATTGTACCGAGACCCGACCAGGGAGATTGCCGGGAGTTACTCTTCGACCTGCCTCAGAAGTAGGAGTTGCAAAGAGCAGAACCTAACGCCCGGCAAAAGTTCTACAGTCTATTTATTTGCTAACCATGAAAAACCCCCCCCCTTTCCCCCCCCCCCCCCCGCGCCCACAAATAAAGGAGACATCACATATAAAAAAAAAAAAAAGGGAGGAAAAAAAAAAAAAGAAAAAAACAACCAGCCGCTAAAACGAAAAAAAAAAAAAAAAGACCCCCAACCCCCAAGTAAAAAAAGAAGTAAATAAAAATATATAAAAAATAAATAAAAAAAATTAAAAAAAAATAATTAAAAAAAAAATAATATTAAATTAAAAACCACACAACCCCCCAACAAAAAAAAAAAAAAAATAAAAAGAAAAAAAAAAAATTAAATTATTTTAAAATAATATTTTAAATGGTTAATTAAAAAAAAAAAAAAAAAAAAAAAAAAAAAAAAAAAAAAAAAAATAACTGCATTCACATTCCAGCGTCGACAAATTGTACCTCTTGCCCATCATCGACGGCCGTTTCATGATTGCTGTCTATACGGTTATACAGGTTGGTGGAGCAGTTTAGCAGCACAAGTTTATCAAGCTATCGTCAAAGAAACTATAGGGGAGTATGAGTTGCTTCGGGCCAGGGAATGACAAAATGAAAGTTTGGGGGAATTGAATACATTTATTGGAGACAAGATAAATCAAAAGTTACGCCATACTCCCAACCGCCCTAATCATCGGCACACGAGATTCTCGTTTGAGTTGGACGCTTAACTCAACTTGACGGAAGAACATGTAGACGTAGACCAGGAAGACGATCCTACATATGAACAAGTTAACGAAATATTGACAAAAGCTACCCAAAGTTAATGTAGAGTGCCACAAGCAGACGAGTCATTGGGTCACTTCTCAAGACCGCCTTCATGCGTTGCCCGCTCCGCTCGAGCTGAGTCTTTTCCGGGCCCTAAATGTATGGTTACGCATAGACAGCCTAACGCACCTCCGAAGCGAAGAAAGCTTTGATCTTTGCAATGGATTGATGGTAATAATCTCTAAAGCACAAATGAATAACCCTGGGGAAGCTAACCGTAATGAAACCATCCAGTCAGGCATTTGCAAACCAAAGATCAGCGAAGGTTTCGTCGCCGACGGCGGGCGCGAGTTCTCATGGCACGCTACCAGCGACAGCGCCAGGAATAGGCAAGCCAAACGGATGAGCAGACGCATTTCCGACTAAACGGTAATTGGAAATTAGGTGGTAAGCACTTTTAGTTATGTGTCTGCCAATAACTCGTTACAAATTGCCACACTAAACATAACAAAACTTTATTGAGTTTCAATTGAATAGTCAAAATAACAGTAGAAATCAGGTTGTAGACATGCATTTATGGGAGAGCTTGGTAGATGGCGTCGAAGACATTCGGTTCGTCACGGTACAGGTCTATTTCCATGAAGTCGAAGAGACTGGGGATGAGACTAAACAAAATTCAGGGAAGCGAAAGTTAGACTCACACAGAGACGTAAGCCGGCAACACTTCTGGGCTTCGCACGAAGTGAAGATAGCAAAAGCGCAACAAGTGTATGATGCCGTAGATGCTGAAAACCAGATACAGGCATAATTTTGATGTATACCGGCAAGGGTAGAATTCCTCATCTTTTTCCAGCAACTCTCGACGAATCTCGAGGGCATGCCAGCGCTCAAGCGTGTATAGTGTGGAACTAAAAAAAGAATAAATCGTTCCCAATTTCCCACAATAGACGATCGTTGAACTCCTCGCAGACCCATCGAGCAAAGTAGAACTAGAGAAAGTAATTTAGTTGAAATACTTATACTGACCTGCTGTTCAGCATCAAGGCTTTTAATCTTGTCGTTGAGAGGGCGCTCGAGGTACTGAACAGCTAATTAATCAACCTTTTCCAACCCAAAATACCTTCTTCATAACATCCATGATGGTAGGACTGCCACCAACTTGCATCCGCTTTCCTTGCTGCATCTGGACTGCCAGGTTAGGAGCCGAAGAAACCACAAATTCACCTCTTTCTGGTCTTTCTGGAGCACATTCCAAAGCTTCAGCGGGAATTGCACGGGTTTTTCAATAAACACGCGAAGCCGCACAGTCTCCTTCGGAACAGCGACCTAAATGACAGGAAATCTTTTTTGTTAAGGCTCGCTCTACCCTTCCGAACATTCGGAATTCCTGTGAAGTCAGTGGTCTCTCGAGCACCATAGTGAGTTCATCCTGTCTCATTTGCCAGTCGTGATGGTGTCCCAAGTTCTAAACAAGACTGGAATTATGCAAACTAAGGTACCTTAAACCGGAGATTATACCAAAAGTCGGCGCCCATGGGGAAATCGCGATGGTCTTCTACAGCAGTCACCGTTGCAGCGAATTGGCCATCATACGATCGGACCAGCAGATGCTGTCCCTCCTTGTAGGTACTGTCCGGATGGGGGTCCTCGGCGTCAGACATCACCTAAAACAGCGGCGTAATTTATTGCAGAAATCGCTGCGTAAAAAGGAAAGCGAAATGAAAATTGCATGAAAAGACAAAAATGCGGGCAAAATTCAGCATCAACTCGTAGGCGAATGCAAACGGGGGCAACTGTACAAGAATCTAAGCAACGACTATAAACATTTTAGTAAATTAAAGTGTGGCTAAGCTATTGGGGCTAAAAGATCGTCACCATTCATAGATTCCTACGTAGTAGAGCGAGATATAGCACAACGGAACGCACACAAGTTACATAAACTAAAAGGCGTGAAACACAACGTCTCAGTTGTCCGAATACTTCTCAGTCAGCTTGCTTAGCAGCTCACGATGGCTTAGCTCTCCCTCGTCGCTGACTTGGAACTGCAGCAGCTTCCCAGTACCAAGCGAAGCCTTGATCGCAGAGGCTGTCGAGGCGTACACCATCTTCTTCTTGATCGGGGCGCCATCCGGGCAAAGTTGAATGAAGATGATCTTGTCCATCTTGGACACGCCGGCACCGACGCGAGAAGTGGTAAACTTGAAGTCGAAAACGGCGTATCGGCAGTCTGTGAAATCGTTGGTGCGCGTGTTGAGATCGGTGACGAATTTTTCGAAAGCCGCCTTGCTGCACGTTTCGTAGTCGTCCTCAGCGCCGGCGAGTTCGTCGTGCGTGACGGCGGCTTCGACGACAACCTCACGCTCTTCGATCTTGAAGATGATGTAGCGGAATTCCTTCTTGCCCTCGCTGAGCTTCATGAAGGTGGACTGGACGTCCGCGTTGACAGCAACTCCCGATGTCGACATCTAAAATGGGGAAATATAGACGGTTGAAGCAAACTAAAAAGAGCATAAGTTGAGAACAAAAAGAGAAAAACAGAAAAGAAAACGCCGGGCGGGGAGCAAAGAAAGGGAGTGAAACCGGTGTGCAATACGGTGGTGGGTCATGCTATAGGCGCCCGATGGGTACTGCCCGATGTTGTCAACTGGAACTTGCGGAAAACAAAATAAAAATAACGAAGTCCTCGATTTTAAAATATTCTAAAACTGAGGTTGACAATTCTAATCGAAAGTATTATTTTCTATAATGTTTTGATGGAATCTTTTAAATGTCAGCCCCTCCAGATCCCGTTCCTTTACTTGATGATCTCCCAAACGCCCGAAATTGCTTCGGAAACCCGGCCGGCGTCTAGGCAGGATGTTGGGCAGCAGCAACTCGGGCCACGAGATCAATACGAGGAGATCGAGGGCAACACAGAACCAGGCAAGCCCCCCTTGAATTTTAAGTTTTTCTAGCCTTGGGGAATTAATTTCATAGAACAGTCTCGGACCATCAATGTGGATTTTGAATAGGTATGTCGCGTTTAGACAACCACTGGGAGCCCGGGACGATGCGACTCGTCCTCCTGGCGGCCGCGATCACATTTATCGGACAGGTAGCTTTACAAAGATATGCTTTCTAATCAAAGAGTGACTTTCCAGTTGTTGTTCACCTTATTCCCGTTCTTCGTCTTTGCGCGCGAGGACCCGACGGTGTTTTACTATCAATTCTTCATGGTGAGATAGATTTTTTTAAAGCAATAAGCGTTAGTTTAGACGTGCTGTGTGGTGGGCCGAGTCATGGCGGTCATCGGCGCCGACAGCATTGCCCCGATTTTCTTGATTGGGCTCAGTATTGTGGGTTTTCTAGGATGATAGTGTATCGGCGATTTATTTTCTAAATCTAGCTAAATAAATTGGCGCAAGTGGCAATTTGCCATCAACGATTTCTTAGTTGGCGTGCGGGTTCTCGACTTGCGTGTTCATCATCGACAAGGGGCTGACGCTGGGCACGGCGCTGGCAGCCTTCTCATTGTCACAGCTTCTGCCGGGCGCCCTTACCTACGCGAAACATACGCTGCTTCTGAAGGGTTTGTTGATATACAGGGTGTCCCATAAAAAAGCACCCCTCCCGCATTTCGCCATATTACATCCGATCGGCCCCTAAATTGGACGAGAGGTGTATCAGACCCTAAATAACCACAATCCTGACTTACAGCCCGATCGCTACAGTACTTTTCGAGATACAACAAAAACAAACTTTATTATCCGTTTTTCATAAGGTTTTCGTCGGAATCGACCCTTCGAATATTAAGTGAAAATGAAGCCGCAAGCCTTTTTGACCCCTAAAAAATTTTTGCTGATAAAAATTAATCAAATAACTGTTGATTTCAACATTTTTGTAACCCAAATTCACGCGCGATATTAAGTGAAATTAGGGATGCGCAGCCGGAAGTCGATGCAAATCGATGCAAAGTCCAAAAAGATAGCCGAAAAACTGTTAAGAATCGCGTAAAAAAACAGGGCCCGTACCATAACCTGTTTACCACCCCATTTCCGGCTTACTACCCCTAGTAAACTCTTCACCACCCCGGTAACCAGACTAGTAAACGTCGTTACTCCCCCTAGTAAGTGGAAACTAGGTTGATTGGTGCTGAAACGTTCGAGCAGCCCAAAATTGCACGCCTAACCTTTGAGCAACTTCGTCACTGAGGTATGTAGCTGAGGGACAGGACTACCCAATAACGGCTTTCAAAAACTTTAAAAAGTTGCGATATTTAAGTTTAAACTCTTTTTAAAATAGCGCTTACTACCCCCTGTTGACCAAAAGTGGCAAACCACCCCTAGTAAAAAAATTTTAGGCGCCTAGTAAACTTTTTAAGAGGGGTGGTAAACTTTTTTATTTGGGCAGTAAGAGCGGGGACCGGTGCGGTAAACTTTTTGCCTGGGGTAGTAACTTTTTTTAGTTGCAAACTGCAACTCTTTTTTCATAAGGTTTTCGTCGGAATCGACCCTTCGAATATTAAGTGAAAATGAAGCCGCAAGCCTTTTTGACCCCTAAAAAATTTTTGCTGATAAAAATTAATCAAATAACTGTTGATTTCAACATTTTTGTAACCCAAATTCACGCGCGATATTAAGTGAAATTAGGGATGCGCAGCCGGAAGTCGATGCAAATCGATGCAAAGTCCAAAAAGATAGCCGAAAAAACTGTTAAGAATCGCGTAAAAAAACAGGGCCCGTACCATAACCTGTTTACCACCCCATTTCCGGCTTACTACCCCTAGTAAACTCTTCACCACCCCGGTAACCAGACTAGTAAACGTCGTTACTCCCCCTAGTAAGTGGAAACTAGGTTGATTGGTGCTGAAACGTTCGAGCAGCCCAAAATTGCACGCCTAACCTTTGAGCAACTTCGTCACTGAGGTATGTAGCTGAGGGACAGGACTACCCAATAACGGCTTTCAAAAACTTTAAAAAGTTGCGATATTTAAGTTTAAACTCTTTTTAAAATAGCGCTTACTACCCCCTGTTGACCAAAAGTGGCAAACCACCCCCAGTAAAAAAATTTTGGGCCCCTAGTAAACTTTTTGAGGGGGGTGGTAAACTTTTTCATTTGGGCAGTAAGAGCGGGTTACCGGTGCGGTAAACTTTTTGCCTGGGGTAGTAACTTTTTTTAGTCGACTTAACGCCGGATTGAGAGATTTCTATAGGTATTTTTGCTGCGCAAACGCAAGCTTATCGACCCTAGGATCATTTCTGAGCAACGCGAGGTGTTTTTAAGGTTAGGCGTGCAATTTTGGGCTGCTCGAACGTTTCAGCACCAATCAACCTAGTTTCCACTTACTAGGGGGAGTAACGACGTTTACTAGTCTGGTTACCGGGGTGGTGAAGAGTTTACTAGGGGTAGTAAGCCGGAAATGGGGTGGTAAACAGGTTATGGTACGGGCCCTGTTTTTTTACGCGATTCTTAACAGTTTTTTCGGCTATCTTTTTGGACTTTGCATCGATTTGCATCGACTTCCGGCTCGCATCCTAATTTCACTAATAGCGCGTGAATTTGGGTTACAAAAATGTTGAAATCAACAGTTATTTGATTAATTTTTATCAGCAAAAATTTTTTAGGGGTCAAAAAGGCTTGCGGCTTCATTTTCACTTAATATTCGAAGGGTCGATTCCGACGAAAACCTTATGAAAAAAGAGTTGCAGTTTGCAACTAAAAAAAGTTACTACCCCAGGCAAAAAGTTTACCGCACCGGTCCCCGCTCTTACTGCCCAAATAAAAAAGTTTACCACCCCTCTTAAAAAGTTTACTAGGCGCCTAAAATTTTTTTACTAGGGGTGGTTTGCCACTTTTGGTCAACAGGGGGTAGTAAGCGCTATTTTAAAAAGAGTTTAAACAAATAGCAACTTTTAAAGTTTTTGAAAGCCGTTATTGGGTAGTCCTGTCCCTCAGCTACATACCTCAGTGACGAAGTTGCTCAAGTTTTTGCTCAGTCGCGAGAAAAATGAACGCAAAGTGTTTACCACCCCAGTAAACGAGTATACTCAACTTTTCAAGTTGGTAAACTTTATTACTACCCCCAATAAATTTTGTGCTTTCGTGAGTCAATTTTCTCAGAAGAGTGGAGATATGTAAAATCATTCGGTACTGTAGTAATTGTGTGTAGCCTAAGAATTTAATTATTGATTAGTAGTCAATCAATTTTCGTCGTGAATTCGTCCCGAAAAGGTCAACATTGTTAGACAACCATTTAGGCCTATCTAGGGAAACTTCGCCCCCCGGCCGGCACTTTTTTTGTTTCTCTTCTTCCTCAATGTCTTTCGGACTGCGACTGACACCCGATGCGTTTTTCCATGCCCACCTTGGGGTAGTAACCTATGAAGGTAACTAGGTAACTAGGGGGTAGTAACATAGGTTACTACCCCTAGTAAATAGAACTGCCGCTGTAAAAGCGTTTTCACCCCCAAAAGTTAATGATAGGTATATTATAGCCTTCTTAAATGAACGTGGGCTTGACTTTACCGGCGCAAAAGCCTCTTTCGTTGACTAGAAAGCCATATAAGTTCAACCTAGTAAACTTTTTTGCCAAGGGTCGTGAACGCGTTCACTACCCCTAGTAAGAAGTTCACCTGTGGTGGTAACAAGTTTACTAGGGGTAGTAAACTTTAGGTTTTTACTAGGGGTGGTGAACAGTTATGGTACCAGCCCAGTATTTTGGCGATAACTCGAAAATTACTGTAGCGATCGGGCTAAAACTCAGGATTGTGGTTATTTAGGGTCTGATACACCCTTGTGCCAAGTATGGGACCGATCCGATGTAATACGGCGAAATGCTGGAGGGGTGCTTTTTTTTGGGACACCCTGTATACATTCAGTATAGCTATTTTCAGCCGAATCTGTATCGCTCATCGTATCCGGCGCCTCATTCGGAATGCTGGCATATCCGCTGTTCCTCAATTTAGCGAGGGTACGTTTTTCATCAAGAAGAAACGTAAATGTCCTTAACTAGCTCTGCGTCCCGATTAGCCTGGTATATTTTAGGAAAACGATTCACGGCTTTTCGTCGCGATCAGCTTCTTCTCCACCCTGCTGCTCGTTTTCCTCTTCGTTTCCATGCTGAATTCACAGGCGCAAACCGAACGCACGAAAGGTAGGATGTAACCGCAACAACGACAAAACAAGTTTCATTTCAGCAACGCAGGACCGAGTACAGGCTTTCATCTCTCGGTTCTTTTCCGGGGAAACTGGATCGGGTCTGCGCCGGGCCCCATCTATTAAGCCGCTCATTTCTCGGTTACGGCCGATGTCGTATAGACGGTAGGCTGGTTCTTACAGGAGTTGAGAGAGAGAGAGGGAGAAGAGAGAGAGAATAAATTTTCAGATTCCGAAACCAAGGTCGGCGGGGCGATTCTGTCGAGCGGGTTCCGAAGATCAAAGTCACGCTGATGCGCGAGCCGCAGGTCCAGTTCAATTGAGGTACTTAGTGATTTTTGATCGTAATTAGCCCTGCGAATTGCCATTTGATTGCGTTACCAGTTTCAGATTTTAGGGCGCAATGCCCCCGTTCCGGATTAGTGAAGAACGAATGTATGTAGCTGTAAAACGCGCTCTTATTTCCCTCGTATAAATCGTCTCATAAACAAAACTTTTTTATGAACATGGAAAATGGGAATGGGCACAAATAGGGACTGGGAAGGGACACAGGGAGGGGGTACCCGCTTGTACAATGGACATTTTGTGGTCTAGTGGCTTCAACATAAGGGCCGATCAGCCCTGGATCCGCTTCTCGACGACGTGCGACATGTTTTCCAGCTGTTTCAGGTTCAGCGCGTAGCCGACGAAGAAATCATCGCACAGGTAGGGCAATTTTGTGTCCTAGAATTTTGTCAATTTGATGTTTTGTGTGTCTTCTAACCTTGCAGAACTGCTTGACGAGCTCGGAGCACTTGCCGAGGTTGCAGCGGGGCATCGTGGGGAAGAGGTGGTGCTCCACCTGGTAGTTCAGGCCTCCCCAGAGCCAGTCGATGAACGGCGACGGCGTCATGTTGCGGGTGGTCAGGATTTGGAGGGCGGCAAAGTTGTTGAGGATCCGGGAATTGGCTGAAAAGGTTTTATTGTATTGTAATTTAGACAAAATTACTTTTTTGTTTTAAATTCTATCTGTAAAATTGTAAAAAGTAGGTTGTCCGCTATTTGCTGAAAATTTTTTAGTTTTTTTTTGTAATTGATTCTATTCTTTATGATAGAAAATTTTATCTGAAAAATTATGAAAAGTAACTAAGTTATTGCTCAAAAAGTAAAGGTAGCTTTGATTTATCACTTACCAGGATACTTGTCGACCGAGTTGTGGTTGAACGTGACGACGTGGCCGATCAAAAAGCCGGCTCCGCCCTTAAACGATTACAATTAACGTTATTTTTCAGGGGTTTAAGCAAAAAATTCAATTAACTTAAGCTTTTCTAAGTTAATAACCAATTTTTAACGTATAGTTTGAAAACCTACCTGTGAAATCAAGAAGAACGCGATCCGTAGCGGCCAGCTTGGCAGCAGGTACAGCTGGAGAAGCACCCACGCCCAGTGGATCGACAAGCCCAACTAAAACCCGTGTTTAGGCCATATTACGGGAAAAACCCCGGTTAAGCGGAGATGATACTTCAAGATACAACGACTGTATCACCAACCTGTTGCTCAAAGGCGTGCTCGCGGTACGAGCGGAAGTTGGACTTGTTCTGCGTGAAGGCGAACTGCAACGACTGGGCCAACCACGAGAAGCGCAGCATGGGCAGCATCGCGGTGAAGTACAGGTGTTGGTAGGGGACGATCTGGGAAGAAGGTTATGGAATTCTACATCTTTTGAATGTTAGAGTGAGAAAATTGACAGAATCAGTTTCAAAAAACCCGACAACAGCGACAAGTTATGCTCAAAATTCTGGGCAAGTACATGCCGCCCGCTTACGAAACCAACCTTCAGAATAGCCTTCTCCAGCGGCTCCTTGTACTTGAGCAAGTCGGCGGGCACGAAGGTGACGAGGGGCGCTAGATCGATGTCCCCGTCGTGGTCAATCATGTTGGTGGTGGCGTGGTGGGTGTTGTGCTAAAAATTAGGCAAAATTTTGATCTACAACGGGGTTTTCATACCTTGTCCTTCCACCAATCGCTGGCAAAACCCTGGGCGATATTGCCAAAGAAGATGCCGAAACGGTCGTTCATACGGCGGTTCTTAAAAACGATTTTTAGGGGTACTAGAGTGTTAGCGGGGGGGGGCTATTCTGTTCGACAAAAAAAAAATTTCCAATGTTCTAAATTTATATAGCTTTCTACACGGTTTTCACGTTTAAAAAATCCATCAAAATCTTGACATTTTGGAAAATTTTTGATTTTAGCTCCGAAATCTATTAAAAATGCCATAAAAAGGTTAAAATTTTCAAATTTCTAGAATTTTGTATGTTTTATAGAAATTAAAACTGCTAAAAATGGTAGAAAAATCACTACAGACGTTAAATTGCAGTCCAGTTTATTTTGAGGCAGAAACACCCCTACCTTAAACGGCTGATGATGGCAAAACTCGTGCGTCATCCAGCCGAGCTGCTGCCAGCAGAGGGCCATCGCACACGCCGCCGTAAGGTACCATCCGTTGTATTGAAGGGCGAACCCGAGCAACATGATCGACATCGTGGACACCATTTTAAAGTAATAATATCTAAGGAGTATGTTATAAATCATTTGTTAATATTCACTAACCCCTCCTTCGCATCCATCAGTCCAAACCGGTGGACATCTTGGCGGAGTTGCTCGAAACGGAGGGTGATTTGTTTCTCCTAGGAAATGATGGGCCTGATAGCTTTAAGATCCCGAACCTCTTCAATGGTAATATCATACGAAGAAACGTTAACGTCAGTCTGGTCGTTGCGCTTCTTGATGTACTCCTCGAGGTCTTCGCTCTGGAAGAAATGGATAGAACTAAGGTGTTTTTTTAAATACCGTTAAATTTACCAAAAGCACTATTAAAACTATTTATTAAGGCATTGTTCTGCACCAATAGGTAGGAAAAAATTGATCCCCCACGCGATAATGTGAAATCACGAGATTCTTACCTGATCCCATGATGTCTTCTTCAGGACCTCCACCTGCTTGTACGCCATGGCGCTGCCCTCGTGGAAGGCGTGGAACATGTGCGTGGCATCGGCATTACTAAAGGAGGAGCATTGCGGAAGTGGACACGAAAACTTACGCGTACTGCTTGATGACGTTGCCGCCGGGGTGGTTGTGGATCAACTCGTCGCTGAGGTGCAGCCATTTGTCGTCGACCTGGTGGAAAGAATGTCAAATGTTAAGTAATGTGGTACCTCTAACATGTTTTTAGTAGTTTTTTAAAGCTAGAGCTTTACAAAAAAAATATTTTAAATATTTTAAAAAATTCGAAAATTTGGTTGTTTTGGTCATTTTTCATACATTTTTGGTCAAAAAGTTACAGATTTTATATATCTAAAAACTGCGTAAAATGCGATAAAATTGTTTATATATATATTGTTGTAGGACCGTCCAAGATTATGGGAAAAAATAGTTTTCCCCTGCTAAACCCCCCCCCTGCTAACAGCCCAGTACCGAAAAAATTGAACCCCTTGGAAATTCTATAAAGAACCAAACCATGCCTTTTTTCACCCGAGTATTTCCCCCAGGTCAGCTGATTACCCTTTTTTTATTTCCCTCCAATTTTTCGGGTGACCTGTTGGCCGCATTTCGTCCGATGCGAGCAGCGCCGTGGCAACCCTTATCTCACCCAGCCCACCCGCTGTCTACCCCCCGAAATGAACGGGTGAATTTTTTTGGGCGCTTCGCGGCTGATCGACCCGGGGCAAAGCACACCACTGCACGCCAAGCCGTTTTTTGGCGGCGATCCGGGCCGTCGTACCTTGATACTCTGGTATAAATGGGTGCAGCGCTACTTGGGGAAGACGGGAAAACAAATGTATCAGAGAGCGTTGTTGAAACGAGCGAGTTTATTTAA